ACGTTGTCTGGGGTCTCGCATGGGGTTGATACTACAGTGCTGACATCAACGTTGTCTGGGGTCTCGCATGGGGTTGAAATTACAGTGCTGGGATCAACACTCTTACCATGGTGATGATGATGGTGGTGATGGTGGTGATGATGGTGGCGATGGTATTTTCCATCATAAGTTACAGTTACGTTGTCGTCATCATCACACGGAGTTTCAGTTGGATCGACTGTGTAGTCATCATCACACGGAGTTTCAGTCACGTCGTCATCGTCATCAACGTCGGTTGGATCAGCTGAGTCATCATCATCATCATCCTTACCATGGTGGTGGTGGCGGTGATGGTGATATTTTCCATCGTCGTCGTTGTCAACAGCAGTTGGAGTTACAGTGTCGTCATCGCACGGAGTTGAGGCTACGTCATCGTCATCAACAGGATCGGTTGGGTAGTCATCATCATCATCATCATCATCATCCTTACCGTGATGGTGGCGGTGATGGCGGTATTTTCCGTAGCCGTTGTCGTCGTCGTCAACGTCAACATCAGTTGGGGTTGGATCATCCGCGCATGGGGTTGAAGTTTCGGCACCGTCGGCGTCGTCATCCTCTTCGTGATGATGTTGTTTGTGTTCGTAATCATCGTCGTCATTTTCCTTATGGTTGCGATAGCCATTGGGATCATCTTCTTCATCTTCTTCACCATGATGATGGCTATGTTGATAATCATCATCGTCATTTTCCTTGTGTGAATGATAACCATTGGGATCATAAGTAGTATCATCCTCATCATGATGACTGTGTTTGTGCTCATAATCATCATCATCTTCATGATGATAATAATGTCCGTACTTATCGTCAATATCAGTTGGGGTCGGATCTATGTCAGTTGAGCACGGTTCTTCATCTCGTTTCTGGTTTTTACGAACATATACATAGGGAGTGCAAGTGACCTCAGCCACACTAGTTTGTTTACAATTTTTGCGATTATATTTGCGATCATCACCGTCACGATGACTATTACAAAGATTTTTATGGCGATAGTGACTTTTTAATTATGAATTCTCATGTTTGTTTATGTAACAAGGGGTTTTTGAATTCCAATCTAGCCACGTTTATGAAATTGATAACAATAGATCCTGCTGAAATTTTTTTTTCTTCTTTGAAATGTATTGGTTTTTTCTTTATTAGTTTACCATGTTTAAACGCTTTTTTCCAATGTTGGAAAGCCTGAATTCCCAATCGAGTGTTGTTTCCTTAGAAAGAAGCAGTTGTTGTACCACTAAAAAAATATGCATGTACTTATTTTTGTGATCCGGATTATCCGTGTAAAGAAGAGAAAGGAGGTCTTGGCATGCGTCGTACACAGCTAACCAAATAGCAATAAACGGTCTTTTGAATTATAGTTGGTGAAAGTATTAAATTAATATTTGATCTTGGCATTGATTCGTGACATGTACCTTCATGCATGTTTCATAGCAACACTCGTAGAATGCTATCCTTTGTCAATGTCTTCTATACTTGTATGAAAAGAAAATTTTAATGCTCCTAATCGAACACAAATAATAACAATCATGTTAGCATGTTCAATTTCTACGTGCCGAGCAACGTTACGAACGCACAAAAGAGAGACTTGGTGCAACGAACAAGGTTGGACATTATAGTAAGTTGGTACTGAATAATTTTTCTATATATACCACCTTCCTTTGATCCTTTGAATTTC